TTTTTATTGTAAGACATTGGGTTGCAAATCATCCAGCACCATATCAGGACACTCGGCTGGTATAAAAACAGATTTTATATCAGTCGCTCAAAAGCCTCAAACGCTCAATAAAATATCCATTATTCACAACATTATCATTATTCACAATGCAACAAGTTCTGATGCAACCCCATATTAATATCCTTCACCAACTTGGGAAAACAGGTACCCTTAGAAGAATGGAAAATAGGAAAACAATGGGGACTAAGAATATACACAAAAGGCTATGACCAAGGATTCCTGTTTGGCATTCTCCAAACTATCGAGATTGATACACCACCGACTCTTAAGCCGGTCTCTAAGTCAAAACCAACCCCAAAACCTGAGTTAAAAATTGGCCATAGACCTACCCAGAGATGGGTCACTACTTCCAGCCCAGTGACAGATAATAGACAAACTCAACCATCCCAAGATCCCAATTCCTCTGATACCTTGTTTAAAATTATGGAACAAGCTTTTTCAGTACTTAATGATGCTAGGCCTGAAATCACTACAAACTGCTGGCTATGTTATGATATAAAACCTCCATATTATGAGGGAATTGGATCTCAAGCCACCTTCACCCTGTCTCCTGATTATACCAGTTGCAGATGGGGAAAAGGAACAATGGGACAAGTCACTCTCACATCTATTTGGGGCTCTGGTACCTGCATAGGTATTGTTCCTAGTTCATATGAATATCTCTGTAATAAAACCTATCCTGTTAATGCCACTGAATATTATGTCCCCTCCAATAATGGATGGTGGGCATGCTCCTCTGGTTTGACCCCCTGTGTGAATGGACAAATATTAACACAATCTAAAGATTACTGTGTCTTGATTGACCTAATGCCCCGGATACTCTAGCATGAATATAACAGCTTCCTAGATGAATGGAATGATATAAAAAGGGTTAAAAGAGATCCAGTAACAGCCATAACCCTAGCAATATTACTGGGGATGGGCGTTGCAGGAGCCAGTACTGGAACAGCCACCCTCATCACACAACATCAGCAATACAATGGCTTGTGGATAGCAATTGATCAAGATATACAGAGAATAGAGCTGTCAATCACTAAGCTGCAAGAATCCCTGAGTTCTTTGGCAGAAGTAATTCTTCAGATCAAAAGAGGGATGGATTTAATATTCCAACAGCAAGGGGGAATGTGTGCTGCTCTAGGAGAAGAATGTTGTTATTATAGTGATCATTCTGGAATAGTAAGAGACTCCATGGCCAAGGTCAGAGAAGGCCTAGAAGAACGCAAAAAAGAAAGGACACAATCTCAGGGATGGTATGAAAACTGGTTTAGCTCATCTCCTTGGCTCACATCACTACTGTCAGCTTTGGCTGGTCCTTTAATTCTGATCTTAATTCTATTGATAGTTGGACCCTGCATAATTAACTGACTGCTTTCATTCAACAGAGAATAAGTGCAGTCAGACTCATGGTACTCTGTCAACAGTACCAACATGTCCCTGCTGAAGATAGGGACACTAACCAGCTCTTCACCCAGGTCTCCACACAAATGGCTCATCAGCTAATACCAATAACACAAAACCCGAACACTGTCGAAACTTCCTTCATATGGAAGCCACCCTCCAGGACCAACTGTCCATCTGGATCTTCACCAGGTTCAGAGAGTTCCTAGAAGATCTGCTCCCCGATCTATGTTGGATGGCTCCACACCCTTGTCCGGTCCTACAGGTAACCAGTTGGGTCTCTGAGGCCTGGCTCCAGGGATCCCTTTGTCAGTTCACGCCAGCTGAAATTGAGATTTTCACTTTCCTTTTACTTTTCATTATTTCTGAAAATGATTCACCGCAGTTTCTGGACTCTCCCCTCGATTAAGACCCTGCCTCAGGTCCCTTCCCCGCTGACCAGCCTGTGTCTTTAAGATTTTATCTTACAGGTAAAATATCAATGACCTTCAGTTCATCTCACACAATGACAGCACAGCCAACTAGACATCAGGCTAACCCCTGCCCTTGGATTGACTCGTTGCCCCAACTCTGCAGGAAGTAGTTACAGAAGACAGACATTCCGCCCCTTTTCCGCCTGCCGATGGACATGTTGGCTGTCAGTCATCATCCAAAATCAAAGAGTGGGGAATGTTAGGAAATTGCACATGTTACTTTAAACTCCTCCATTTTATACCTGACTTCCGGGTTCTTCCTAACTTAAGTTTCGTTTTCCTAATTTAAGTTTCATTTTCCCAATTTAAATTTCGTTTTCCTCCCCGAGTTGAATTCTTCCCAGAAATGACGCCAACATCTGATAAGGGACTCCTGCAGGACTAAGACCTTATAAGGCAATGTGGCCTGCAATAGGTTAAAAAACAGCTAATTCCCCTAAAATTGCAAAACTCCCACCCAAGACCCTATAAATGAGCCAACACGCCTTCCCTTGACACCCCGCCTCCCTTTCTTCGCCTCCCAGCCTTTGTGCCTCGCCTGACTCCCTTCAATAAAGATCTCCTGCCGGACCTCTCAGTGTGTGAGTGACCTGATTGGGAGGGGGCGCCCGAAGGGGCACGAGCGACCCTTTTCAGTTATAGTAATAAGTACAATATGATAGCACCTTAAGGCAGTCTTTTACGCTTAAAATTTACCAACTTTCTAGGAGATCTTTTTGGGGATTTTCATTCCTTCTTTCTCCATCATATAAGCCCGTGCATCCACAGGTAGGTTTTTTCCCCTTGCTGCTGGAGTTGACCTGGGCAGGTCAAGGTCAGAAGACCCACTCCGGCAGTGTAGCTGCTAGGGTGAAGTAGGGAAAGGTTCACGCCTTCTGCCTGGGGATGCAGAACTCCCTGTGGCTGCTCTTCAAGAGCAAAGGTGAGTACAGGTTAGAGACTGAGTCATGAATGACATGGTTCAGATGAACTCTTTCTGCCGCTCACCCAGGACCAGAGCAAGACCTTCAAACTGAGTGCCCTCAGCCCAGAATATAAACTATCACCTTTCATTCTGATGGACAGAAACATGTGCCTTCCCGCAGTCACAAGGGCCTCGTTTAGCCTGAATCCTGCCAAGATGAAGCTAACACTGTGCAGGTGGAGATACAATTACTCTGTCAGCTGCTCCCACCCATGCTCCCCTTTGCCTCCTCTTTCTCTCCATCCAGGCTGTCCAGATCCTACTCGAAGAAACAGATAGTTTTCCTAGTACTGTCAGGGTTGTTGTACTTAGAGTTTTGAGCAATGTTTTTTCAAATCACATTATATGATTTCCTGAAGAAACTCTACTTCCCCACGCTTGAATCTCTAGTGCCTAGCAGAGTGTCTGACATACAGGAGGTAACAACAGAGCTTTGTCACTTGCTTTGTATTCCTACTTTCTTGGTCAATTACAGTATTGGCATCTCAGCTTTTCAACTAATTCTTCAGAACTAATGTATTAAAATACCTCACTCAGGTTCTTGTTTTAGCAACTTGTTTTCTGTTTTAGTTTCACTCCATAATCAGAATTTGCATTTTTTATAAACATGACATGCGTCTCCATGGGCAAATAATGAAAAATCACTGAATGTGATGTAAAAGCTAAATTAAAGTCTAACTTTCAAAATTACTAAATTTCAATCTTTAATGGACATGTTCTTTGCTTTCCAATAAGACGCAGAGACAGGATAATACAAAGGATTCATTGGCTAGGGCAATACAAAGCTGTGATAATAATTTACTAATGAATAAATTCAGGATTTGTTATCGTAAACTGCATAAACTTATAAATGATCTTCAGCAGGAAACCAGCTTGCCAGGAATGCCTGACCAGAGAGGATGAACAGACATTAAAGACAAGGCACAGAGACAGCTTTGAAAGAGGGCACAGGAAGCTCTTGCCTCAGGTGGACAGAGCCCTGAGCTCACCTCACTTTTATTGAACTCAGGCTAGGGAGCAAGCAGTTAGGTTAATGGACAATCCATCTGCTTCCCATTATTTGCACATCATACCCAGGTAAGTATTTCTCTAAACTGGATCTCAGCTGTTGTTCTCTTTGTCTCAGGAAATTGCCACATGCCAGCATGCCAGAACATTGCAAAAGGAGGATCAGCTCGTGGCTCCCTCCTCCGTGTCCACACAGAAGTTCGACTGGGCCTGGAGCCTTATGTCTAGATTCCCGCAATCTTCTCAAAGTCTATAAACAGAAAAACTCATTTTCTCCATCACATGTCACTTTCACTTTCAATAATATCATGGACAAAAGTACTTTTTACTTAACTAGGGCAGGCTGAGCGTAAGATGCAAAAGTCTGCATATAGTTAGGGTTATATATCCATATATGCCTGGGAGAGTGCTGCTGTATGTCTGTTGCCAGACATAACTGTTCATTCTGTCTTTTTGCTCCCATAAGTATCTTGGTTTGAATGGTGACCTCTATGTTCCCAGGAGAGCAGATGTCTTTGTTGAAGAATCCATAGGCAAACTTCTTCAGTACAAAACAGAAAGCCAAATGCTGCTCTCTGGTCAGATGCTGGCTCTCTGGTGCCCAACCTCTAGTACCAGGCTGTAGATCTGCCAAGGCTAGACCCACAATCCACTCTGACCTGAGCAGACTCAACCTTGCCTGTGGACAGAGCTGGGGAAAGGGCTGGACAGTGGGTGGGCAGTGGCGGAGGAAGGTAAAAGAACACTACCATCAGCAACAGGAGCAGGTGTAGACCCACGTTCAGCCCAAGGAGCCATGTGTCCCCCTCAGGTCACTTTGTGAAGAGCAGGGATGTCCAATAACTGCAGCCTGTTGAAGAGCCTCAGAAGGAATAGCAGAATCTATTACCTTGTTTCAGTATTCTGAAATTTTAGTTGGGAATTGTTTTCCCACATTACTTTGTAACTTTCTTAGTTTACCCAGACTATCAAATCCCTGTGCCTTTACCCAGAATCAAGGTCTCCACACCTGTGATAACAGAAAGTGAAAAGCAGCCCATGGAGACAACGCTCTAGTAGAAAACCCACTGGCTTTCTTCTACTCACTTGTGGCCAGACATTTTAAAGCAGGGAGACAGAGTATGCTGGGGTCCAGCTGACAATGAATAGTGTCCCTCTTTCTATAGGTCCTCAGCTCAGCTCAGGACTTTATGAGGAGAGTAAAAGCCCTCATTGAGATCCACTGAGCAGCCAGCACCAGGAGTGCCATGGAGCTTGGTGAGTCACAGGAAGTGCATGCAGAGGGATGGGACAGTCACTCCCTCTTCCTGCTGTTTCCTATCTGCCTCTTCCAGGACTGGGCGCTCTTCCTTTAGATTCAGTAAGTTCTCCAATGTGGGCCAAACTCTTTGCCTTGTCCAGGTGCTGCTGTGAAGCCTGCACCTTGTCTCCAGTTTTTACTGCCACATGTTAAGGCATTTTCTCATGATGCAATTACTATGTACACAATCTTTTTATTAACTAATGCACCCATCTGTGTGGTACTGGGGATGGATCCCAGGGCCTGGTGCATACTGAGCAAGGGCTGCACCAGTGAGCTGCACCCTGGCCTTTCCAGACCCTTCTCTGTTAGCCTCAGCACTGTGTGAGAGAAGAGGACACTGAACCAGCACAGGAAGTGTCTTAGTTACTTTCTTTGTTGCTGAGACAAAATACCTGACACCCCCAAGTTGAAGGAGAAAGGGTTTATTTAGCTCATAGTTTATAGAGGTTTCAGTTCGTAGTTGGCTGGCTCCAAGGCAGGGTGGCACGGCAGACAGGCATAGCAGAGGAGAAACAGTTCATGGTAGGCAGAAGGCAAGAGAAGTAGGAAAGCAGCAGCACCCTGCCTCTCTCCTTTATCCCTTCCCTGCTACCTACCCTTTGGTAGGTGCCTCCCACACCCAGAGTGGGCCTTCCCTTTATCCACACCCAGAACTATGCCAAAGCAATCAGTAGACTAATTTAATACCACACACCCTTAATCCCAGCATCACACACCTTAGACCCAGCCACCTCTGAAAATCCCACCTGTGACTACATGAAGCTTTGGAGGGACATCTAGATTCAAGCCATGCTGGAAGTAAGGACAGTGTCTTCTGCAGAGCACATCTATAGGGGGTCTTGGTAGAGGCTGGAACTGAGAGGGTATCACAGGATGCCCAGAGGTCTTTGAGTAGCAATATGACAGTGATTGGAACCTACTATTGTTATGGAAGAAATTGGCAAGTGACACACAGAGGCAGCAGAATGAAAGTAAAATAAAAAAGTTATGGTTGTCAACAAAGATCGAGTGCCTGAAACGATGCAGTGCTGGGCTACAACTCCTTCTCTTATAGGATTTTCCAGCCTCGATCTCATTCAGGTGGTTACATTGCATTTCCACAGTTCACATTGCTGATATTCAAAACATGGTGGTGAATCAGTTGAATTTCAACCCGGATGTAGCACTTCCTTGTTAGTGGAGGTTACCTTTGAAATTCTCTAGTTATCTATTCTAGCCCAGGGGAAGGGGCCTGTCTGGTCAGCAAGGTTAACAATGGCTCTTTTCATTTACAAAACTTTTGAGGGAGACTAGATGCCTCCAGTGCCTGTTGATTCTGAATGAAACAAAGCAAAGGGCAGAAGTTATTTTACATTGTGACATTTCAGAAGGTTTTTGCTATTAAAGTGTTCTTTATCACTATGTAGAAATTACTTTTGCCCTAAGTTGAGCTCAGAGCCGCAACTCTTAGAGGGACTTTCACTGTCTCTATTGTAGGAGATATTTGCAAGGAAATTGAAAAGAGGGCCTGCCAGGGGATGAGTTTGTCACAGTTCCTATTGAACTGGAATTTTTAAATTAAAACTGCATATTAGAAATTTGAAGAACCAAGAATTTTTACACTGAGGCAACCCATTCACTATTGCTTGTTGCATAGTCTGTCCAACGTTTTGCAGAGCAGGGTGCTTCCCAAGTGTGTGCTGAGGCCTGGTGCATACTGCAGACCTGGCCAGGGCCCTGCACAGGAACAGAGGAAAATTTGGCACAGGCTTTTGTGTCGGAAAATTGCACAGCCAAAAATACTTACCAAATACTCAGCATGTGTCAGGAGCTATTTTTAACATACATGATCTCTTCACTCCTTACAACAGATATAGAGTATTAGTTACTGAAAAACCCACCTTCTTTTTCCTGTCTGCTGTAGCATTTCTTAATTCAAACCTACTTCCTCTTACTGATTTTTCACAAGCTATGGAAAAATTGGACCGTATCTCCTTAAAAATATGACTGCAATGAGAAAACTTTCCCTTGAGTAAGTTCCTTTTATGTTTTCTCTTGGCATTTACTCATCACTTTGAATCACTTCAGTCACCTTTCTTTGAACTCACAGCTTCATTCTCTTATACTGACTCTAGAGTAACCCTAAAGCTCAACAGTAAGTGGGGAAGTGGAGGGGAAACAGATTTCAGGGCACAGAGAGGCTGCTGAGTCACTGTCTGGAGGGAGGAAAGGTCCCTGCCCTGCACACTTTCTGCCAGGGTATACAAACCAACAAGCCCCACACATTAAAACTTATCTCACAGCAGCCCGACCAGTGCTGAAGCCAAACTCTTGGTCCTCACAGACTCTTCAGGGTGTCACTGGAAGCAGGTCAGAGTGACAAGGCTGCGAGATCACTTCTCAACACGGATTCAGTGTGGCAGTCTTAAATTCAGTGCTCTGATGGTGACATTTTAACCTGAGTCCAGAAAACAACCTCAAACTGTAGTCAAGTGTGTATAATTCTCCCTACAAAATAGAAAAGCACTGTTTCATGTTAATCCTCAATAAACATGGCTTCATGTCAGCAGTTGTCAGTTCACACTGCCCAGACTTGTTACAAGATAGGCCGGGCTCCAGGAGCCAGTAGGCCCACATCCAGAACCTAATTGTTTTGTACCTGGCTGTGTCATCAGTGAAGGGACAGTGGGGACAGGACAGTGGGTGGCACATGGTCCCTGCTGGCCAGTGGTGCGAGTGCTCTGTGTTTGCAGAGGTTGGGCTGTGCCACCCTTGAGTGGCCTGCGTCCCTCTCTATCAGACCAGGAAGTTTATACAGATGATTACTGAGAGCTGGCTATTAATTAAACAGGAAGCTAATTAATAAAGCACTCTGCAAAGGCATGTTTTTGAAAGAATTGCAAAGTTTAATCATTCATTTTGTAAAAGAAGAAGTTTATTGATTTTGAGAGTCACTTTTCTTATAGGCCTAGGTTTGGTAGCCCAGGAGAAATCCTTCTGCATAGAGCAGGGTCTGATTAGGAATAAATGCAAGGCTGACAGAGGACCCCATCCTGAAGCCAGATCGTCTGGGCAAACACTAGCTGTCATTTCCTACCCCTGTGGTCAGGTGGGGTCAGCATCTTCTGTCCAATGTGCTGAGCGATCACCCAGGAATGGAAAGGCAAGTGGGGGAGTAGGATGGCATGACAAGGTTTCTACCTTCCCCCTTTCCCCACAAATCTTATGTTTCCCTCTGTCCTAAGGCTCAGGGTCCCCAGCGAGCAGTACAATTGAATGCCTGTGTCCCCACAAGCTCAGAGAACAAGCCACAGAGCAGGAAACAACTTGCAGGACAAAACTCACCACCCTGTGCTCCAGGACACTGGGAACTTTGCAAAAGTCCTCCTCTTATAGGTGGGCACTGACTTGGCCCTTAAACTCCCTCTTCTGGGCCCTGGAGTGCCAGGGGAGCAGAGCGTTGAAGGTCAGGCATCCAACCTAGAGCGAGTCATGGCCTGAGGAAGTTTGCACTCCCTCCTCTCTCACCACTCTGCAGGTCTGCGAACACACCCAGGTGAGTGCAGCCAGGAGACAGGACGGGCCCTGGGTGTGGACACACAGCATGGTGCCAGCTGCCCCAGCTACCCCAGCCAAGGCCACTGCAGACAGCTAGCCCTGTCCAGGGAAGTCTGGAGAGTCCATGGCCAGCCCAGCAAGGGAGTGGAGCACTGGCCTGGAGGTAAAAATCACTCGGTTTGGGGTGGTGTCTTTCACAACACTGCTGAGATAATAAATAACTGGTAGGTGCACTTAAGAGCATAAAATCATCAGGAACCCAAAGCAAGGCAGAGGAGTCATCCAGAAATGCGTCATTACAGTGACTTTGCAGCCCAGAGCCTTGAGCTCCACAGTGTGCAGGATGCAGGTGTCAGCATCCACACCGCTGTGGGAGCCGGAGGGCAGGCAGACTGGCACCCACAATGCTCCACATCCGGGTCAGAGTCCTGACACACCTTGGTCCAGGTTCTGCCTCCATAGACCTGCAGCTGAGAATAGGCTGCGGTCTGCCAGAATAACAGCCCAGGGGTGGGGCATGAGCTGGGAAGGGGTGACTTTTCCTGGCAAAGGGGACTTACAGATGCCAGGGGACAGGGAGGTCATCATGGATGGAGGAAAGGTCAGATCAGGGAGGGAAGGGGCGGTGCTGGCCCCAGGCCCATCTCTGTCCCAGCATCCTGGAGCTGGCAGTGAGCTCAGCTGGCTGTCTGGGGGCCCCTTCTGCTCTGTGGTGCTCCCCTGTGTAAGATCTGCCCTGCTGCCATTAACATTGCTTTGCTTTTTTTTTTTTTTCCTCATTGAGTTTATGGGTACATTTTAGGTATACAGTACAGTTACATTCATTATTGGGATCTTGTACCTTTACATGACAGGTCTTGGTTCTCATTTTTCCCCTTGTCCCTGCCCTCCCTTCACCCCCTCCTCCCCTCCCCCTTTACAAACACTTCATTTCCATTTTTTCATTTTCTCATATTTTTTCTTTTCCCTTATAAAAAAAACATACTCAAGTGAAATTAATAGGACACACGTGTAAATACCATATAGTTTCTCTGGTGTGATAAACTAAAAGTGTAAATAAAGGTCAAAATATATAATTGGTATTTTGTAATAGGAAGAAAAAATCTAAAGGTATTGGGAAAGTAGTAGAGGTAGGGGAAAGTTAAAAAGGGAAGAGAAAACAAGAGAAAAGGAAGAAAATGGAAACAAAGTCTTTGTAGATAGGGGAAGAGGGAGGGGAGAAGGGAGGCTAGGGGAATGGGGAAAAAATAAGAACCAAGATATGTCACATAGCCAGAGATTTAACTCAGTGGTTCCACTGCCTGCCTTAAGTAAGTGCGAGGACCTGAGTTCCCCGAAAAAAAAAAAAAAAAAAAAAAAAAAAAAAATGTCATGTAAAAGTACAAGATCCCAGTGATGAATGTAACTGTATTGTATATCTGAAATGCACCAAACAAAGATGGTTTATTTTTTAAACTCCCATTAAAAAACATTGCTTTGCCTTGATTGTAAACAAATATTTTAAAGTATACTTCACCCTCTCCCATGGGACCATAGAACAATCCGAAATTAATGCCTACATTTTACAAAAAAAACTTTCCTCACCAGACGTTTGTTGCTGTAAGTGCGGCACTAATGTGTCCTGGGGTGGGGTAGGGCAGACAAACTGTTCTGCCCCGGGCCACGTCTTCAGGCCTGGGGCATTGAAACCAGGGCCATGCAGGTAAACAGGGGACAGCTGAGAGCCTGGGCCTGGTCAGGCCCAAGAGCAGTGGCGGAAGCCAGCTCCCGGGTCCCAACGAAACACTGTCCAATGAGCCTGTCCTCCCCGGCCATCAAAGCCTCATCCAGGGACAAGGATCCAGCTTCCTCCTGTGGGCGCACAGTCGGGGAGACCCGGCTCTCACACAGCACCAAGCAGAGTACGGCTCTGCCCCAGGGACCTTTGGGAAGCATACTGTTAGGAGACTGTGCATGTTAATATATATATATATATATAACCCCCCCCAGCCATTTTTGTATCTTCCTTCCGGGTTCTTCCCCAACTTTAAATTTCTCTCTCCCCAAAATTACCTCAGCAGTCTGACAAAACTAGAGCTTCCGCAAGGCGGGAAAGTTGAAAAGCAACATGGACTGCGATAGGACAATGAAGATCGTTCCTCCCAGGAAGAAGTCCTTGGTCTCCCGCTCTATAAATACCCCAGCAGTCCACTTCCTCTCCGTCTCCCTCTCCCTCTCTCTGCCTTCCTGCTTCATGCTCACCTCCCTACAATAAAGATCTCCGACCTCTCAGTGCATGAGTGGCCTAATTGGGAAGGGGCACCCAAAGGGGCACACAACCCCCCTTTCACGTACTGCTCCGAATCACCAAGCCTCTGTGGTCTCCACATCCTCCTGGGCTGTCAGAGAGAAAGACTTCAGAAGCCAGGACTGAGTCACAGCCTGTGTGGCACAGCAGATGCCCTCAGGTTTGCACAGCTGCTCATGAGTACAAAGGGTCTTTCCTCTCTCCCACTGCCTCTTTATGGGGACAAAGCCACACAGATGGAGCGCCTCCTCGCCAAGGTGGGCAGTCAGGACTGTGGGGCTCCAGTCACACTGCCCTGGGCAGCATCACAAGGCAAAGGCTAGGCTGCTCCCCGGGGCTTGGGGGGACAAGGGGTCCCCCAGTTCCCCGGCAGCACCCACTGCCCCAGCCCAGAGTCGGTTTCCAGCAGTCACTCTCAGTGCTTCTAAAGTCTGACACTGAGGGAGACCCCAAGGGCCCCCGCTCTGTCCGTGCCCACACCCCTCGGGTCTGTGACCTCCTCACCGCTGGCTCAACACCTGATGCCACAGTCGAAGGGAGGGGAGGTTTGTTTTGGCTCAGTTTGTAAGGTTTCAGTCTGGTCAGCTGGCTCCAGAGCAGGGCGGCCAGGCCAAGGGTTAGCACGGCGTGAAGGTCCAGCCCGGGCTGGCCTCTGGTGCCCTGGAGGATGCCCTCCCTCCAGGCTGCTTTCTCTCTGCATGCATAGTCATCCTTTAAATGTGAGGGATTTCATTAAATTTAAAAATTGTTGGGAACTCCTAATTCTTTTTATTTATTTATTATTTTAAACAAGTTCTTGCTATGTAGTTTAGGCTGGCCTAGCACTCACTCATTATGTAGCCCAAGATGGCGATCCTCCTGCCTCAGCTTCCAGAGTCAGGCTTTCTTCCTCACTCTAACATTGAAACAAGCAGGGTTCCCTGCATCCTCCACTGTCTGAGCACCCTGTTCCCATCACTGGTTGAGAGCATCCAGCACTGGGGGGCTCTCCACCGCAGCACCCCCGTGAATGCTCTGTGTGTGTCGTGATCCCCGGGATTGGCCCAGCTCTTCCAGTCTGCATAGGTTGCTTTGCTTCCTGCCCTGGGAGGCTGTCAGCTCCTGCTCCACTCTCCAGGGTGGGACTCAGACATTTGGAGTATTTGACACTCAGGACTAGAGGTGTTATGAACATTTCCCCACAGGCCCTTGTGTGAACGTGTACATTCATTTCTCTGGAGTACACACTGGAGAGAAATTACTGTCACTTTGAACTGTGAGCATTTAAACGTTTGTCAGATTTTTTTAAAACTTGGATTTTTTCCCCCCTCTTAATTTCTTTGGAGGGAGGGGAGGGAGAGAAGGGAAAGTAAAAAGAATCAGGATGTGTTATGTACATGTACCAACTCCCCAGAATAAATGTAATCATTATGTATCACAAACATGTACTAATAAAAATTTTAAAAATAAAAAAATCTGAATTCTTAGAGTTAAAAATGTAAATCGGTAAATGTAAACCAGTAAGACAAGTAAACCAGCAACTTACAGCTAAAAATTTAGTGTGAGAGTACATTGCTTTAAAGTAGTGCATCATTACTATATGTGAGATAGAAACGGTCACAGATTTTCAAATTCTTTTTCATTTGATCTTTGTTCTTTGGGACAAGCTCTCACTATGCAGCCCAGGCTGGCCTTGAACTCAAAGTGATCCTCCTGCCTCTGCCTTCCCAGTGCTGAGATTTAGGCATGCACCGCCATGTCCAGCTTTCAGATTCTTAACACAGCGAGAAGAGTCTGCAGCCTGAGTCTTGGGGACACCTCTGCTACAGAGGAGGTGAGGCCATGGGAGCAGTTTGGGAGCTTGAGAACTTCCTGCACAAATCCCAGCCTGCTTCTCTTGTCCAAATCCAGCCAACAACAGGAGGGTAAGTAGGGATAAGAGTTACTGCCCTGGCATCAACGGGTGTGCAGAGTTAGGCACTGGGCCGGAGGAGGCTGGGCCCACGGGGCCTCATCCTGGGGAACAGATGCCAAAGAACCCACCTCCGAGAGATGCCCAGGCCTCAGCCTGACCTCCTGTGAGGCTGAAGAGCTGGGGCTCCACAGTGCTAAGGGTGGGCCAGGCCTGGCACAGCGAGGCAAGGGCTCTTCCTCCAAGCCCCACCAGCCTCCGGAGAACTGGATTAAGGATCCATTTGAATGCAGGCTGGAAGAAGGAGAGGAGCAGACTGGGGTGTGGTGTGGGGAATCACAAGGGCCAGAGACAGGCAGGCTGTGGTGGATCCGGGGCCTGGAGCACCCTGTCAGGATTCTCAGGGGTTCAAGGATCAATAACAACAATGGTAATAATCGCTTGTATTTTGCTAAGGCTTACTACTATGCAAACTGTTTTCACTTAATTGCCCTATAGCATACCTTTCCTTGTGGCACCTTTCTTTTTTGTTCTTGTTTTTTTGTTTGTTTGTTTTTTGGTACTGGGGGTTGAACTCGGGTCCTTGTGCTTGCGAAGCAGGAACCAGAACCACTTTGCTAAACCCCCAGCCCCCAAGGTACCTTTCAAGAAAGAACTTGGATTTAATTTATATTTTCTCTTCGCTGCTCTCTGTTTTTAATTAACATGTAGAGCAATATTGATTAAAATCCACAGAATGAAAAAAATCACATCAGAATGGAGTTGATGTGTGGACTCCAGGGTTCTGCTAACACCCACGGAAGCGTGATTCTCCAAGGACTGGCAAGTGAACAACGGAAGAAGAGGAACTTAGAAACTAGTCGGGTTTTTAAGGATGGGCTTTCTTTGAGAAATCACAGTGCCAAGAGCACCGTGAGGCCAGGAAAGCTGGCGGTCCAGGGGGTCCCAGCAGGTTTGCCTGGCCGATGTGACGCTGATGGACCTGGGAGGGACGCTGATGCCTGGACTGCTCCGAGTGACCCTGGCAGGGTGACCCTGAGGACGCTGGCGACCTAGTGCACAGGGACTCCGTAGATTTCCCAGCAGGGAACCAAGGTCATAAGGAGAAATTAGGGGGCAGGATTCTGTGTTTCTTGTTGTGACATTAACTAATATATGATGCTTTTGTTTTTATTTTACTGTTAAACGGGCTTAATTAACATAGCAAGCTTCTAATGTGTGTGTGTGTGTGTATGTGTGCTTGTGTGTTTTCCTGTAATCCAGTTGAATTCCTAGTCAGTTGAATTTCTGCTAAAAGTTCAAGACGACATTTGATCAGGGAACAATGGGTGCACATTTTTTTCTCATGTTTTTTTCTTTTCCCTTCTTTCCTTTCCCCCACCCCTGCCACTTCCCCTACTACTTTAGATCTTTTCTTCCTACTGCACATTATCAATTATACATTTCAATCCTTATTTACCTTTTTAGTTTTTCACACCAGGGAAACTATTTGGTATTTACACATTTGTCCTATTTATTTCACTTAAGAGTATGGCCTCAATGTGCATCCATTTAGCTATAAATGCCTCTAGTTTCCAATTCTTCATGGCTGAGTAGTACTCCATTTTATAAAATAACAAAACAAAACAAAAAAACACATCTTCTTTATCCAGTCTCCAACTGATGGGCAGTTTGGCTGTTTCCAAGTTTCAGCTATTACAAACGGTGCCACTATGAACATGGGTGCACATATATCACTGTGGTATGATTCTTTTAATTCTCTTGGGAAGATACCCAGCAGAGGGATGGCTGGGTCAAATGGAACCTCTAATCCTAGTTGTTTGAGTTATCTCCATATTGATTTCCACAGTGGTTGCCCCAGTCTGTACTCCCACCAGCAGTGGAGAAGGATTCCTTTCTCCACACAACCCTGCCAGCATTTGTTATTGGTTGATTTCTTGATAGCAGCCATTCTTTCTGGGGTGAGGTGGAATCTCAGTGTTGTTTTCATCTGCATCTCTCCAATGTGGGGTACACATTTTTGATTGAATTAATATTCAACAGAAGCTACTTTTATAATGTGTACTTGGCTTCCAATGAATGTATTACTGAAATTTATAAGAACTTTATTGAAGGAAATGAAATGTGCATATGGATATGTCGCGAGCTGGCGATGCAGAGCACTGTCCAGCAGTGTCTCAAACCTGAAAGAGCATCGGGTGGAGATGGGGCCAGGAGAGAAAGAAGGACGCCAAGACAAGAGTCTGATCAAGGGGACGTTTATTGCAGGCAAGCATCAGACTTTTAAAGCAGAAAACCACAAACGAAAGAGGAAGTAAGCTTAACTACAAACTATTAATGGGCTATAATCACAAAGGCAACCTTAATGGGTGATTAATGGGTGTTTACTAGGACAAAGAACTACAATTCTAGAAATTTAACTTCAGGAAGGAAACTTATCTCTAAAAATGGTTCCACTTAGCTCTAGATGGCAGCACTCCTGCCAGCTCGCAGGCCAGCGCCCAACATGGCTGAGACATGATTTCAACTTCTTGGAGGGTAGGAATCTGTTGCGAGAAGTTTAAATTACAGAAATACTTTTGGCAGATAGGGAAACTATTTATAAACCACAAAACCTCTTATCTCCCAAAGAAAAGCTGGAATGCAGGGATATATGAGTGCTGTCTCGAGCCCAGAGAGGGGAGATTTCTGCCAGGCCTGTGGGCTTCATGCTTAGCGGATGATACTAAATTGTGCTGAACTTTCTGCACTATTGTCTGCAGGATGAGACCCAGCTGTCCCCATGGGACCTGTGGGCTCAGGGCATGGGCCAGAAGTCATCCATCCGAGCGAACGCTGGTCGCGAAGCCTGGTGCATTGCAGTCCTCAATGCTGGCTTTCATCGAAATCAATAGTTTGCCTTGAGGGATTTTTTACTAAAATAGCAACACTCAGGCCCTACGCAAAAGAGCTCTGCCATGCTTTAGAAGACCTGGGTGCTGGAAATTCCTAGAACTACAGGAAGATCCGAAAGCGCGGCTGTTCTGTTCTGAGAACCGG